GTTGCTGTCAGTGAGGCTGAACTGACGTCTTGCTGGCGTAGGGTGGGTCCTAACCCAACCTAACTGGTGTCGTTGTGAGAAGAGAAGAGACCTGGGGAGGCACAGTTAGGGATGAAGTGATGCCCCTCAATGGCATGACGAAATCCTAGCCCAGAACTGCCCCTGGGGACGGGTCCCCTGTGGGAAGGGTTGCGTTGATTGTGAGTGCCAGCTCACTGGTGCAGGCTGGGTCTTAGGCCTCTCCACTTTCCAGATCTAGAAAGAGGGGATTAGGCACAGAGCCAAGCAGACACAAAGAAGGGATAGTAGAAGTGCCCGCCAAGGAGCCAAGGGATCCTGGGTATACAGAAATAGAGACAGAGCTCCCCCCCTTCCCCAGAACCGACAGAGAGCCCGCCTGGACTCTGACTCCGAGCCTCCCGAACGGGAGAAAATAAATCCCTGTTGTTCAGCGCCACCCACTGTGGCAGTCCTATGACTAGCCGATCAACGAGGACAGCCGGGATGAGTCCAGGGCTGCTGGGAGCCACCAGACGCTGGGCAGTGGGCATGGGGTACAGCGTCCTAGAAGAACTGACAATGGCCTCAGAGTTCCGACCTCCAGACTGGAGGCAGGGAGCTTGTGTCCCCGTGGGCCACCCACTGTGCCACAGTGGCCGCAGGAGACACAAACGAACTCCCCACGGATCCCCAGCTTGCAAGTAAATAAACTCTTGAGTGTTCATAGAGAGTGAGCCAAGTCATTACGTGTGTGTTTAGTGGGGGTGGGGGGCGGGGCGTGTGTTGTGTCTCACTGCCCTTTTGGACACACATCTGAATTCGTCCCTTCCCTGTTGCCCCCACCAGCCCCACCACGATACCCCCTATTACTAACATTTAAAATTCTGGCAAAAAAAATGATGCAGAGACTGTGCCCGACCTTTGACTTGCATACAACATTAGCCCCGCAGCGGATTACTCTGAGGCCAAGGTCAGATGGGCCTCCCCCGCTCCAACCTTCCTTCCCCATTCTGACACCCACCACCCCTGGCACAGCCCCCTCTACTTCCCTGTGGGATTCAGTCCTAGGCTGTGACAGTGACCACACAGAGCTCACAGACCACACTCTTGGCTCAGGGGGCTTGGAGGGACGTTCACCAGGTGACAGTCCAGGATCAGAAATTCCCAGGATACAGTTCTTCAGTCAGGACAGCCTCTTGTCAGCCATGCAACAGGCACACCTCCCGCTCTGGTCCTTGGCCACTCAGCCCTGGGGCCCCTTGGCCTCTACTCAGCTTGGGCAAGTGTAGTGGCTGATATATTTAAATCATGGTGATCAGTCCCCCCTCCCCCCACTTTCCCCTTCCCCTCCTGGTATTGCTACTCTCATTATTGGTCCTGAGAGGTTTATCTGTCCTGGATGCCCTGTGTTTCCACCTCTTATCTGTACCAGTGAACATGTTCTGGTCTAGCCGGATTTGTAAGTAGAATTGGGGTCATGATAGTGGAGGGGAGGAAGCATGAAAGAACTAGAGGAAAGTTGTGTGTTTCATCGGTGATACACTGCACCCTG